GGCCTATACCATGTGGTAAGTAGAAATGGCTTGCTTTTGTTTTTGGTAATTTCAATTGTTAAGATTTCAATATTAGGATCGTTAAGGTCAGATCTAAGCTGGAAATTAATTGTATCACGTATGAAAAAGCCAACACCACCACCAGATCTATTTCTGTCTTTGGAAACCCAAGTATAAGAAATACCAGAAATATGTAAAAGTAACGAGGAATCGACAAATAGGAAAATATTTTTGTCTACTTCCCAACGACAATTGTGGAAATTTAGTTACATGGAAAATTTTATTCAGTGGGTAAAAGTCGGGTAAATTTTCTTTCTGGCTCCCGCCCGTACGCCTATGACGGCTGAACTAATTCCATTTCCTGTGTATCGGAACATAAAGCAAACAATATTTGCGGAACATAATTAGTATGCTCAATAAAACAAAAACTTTCGCAAAAATTTAGCCATTTTTAACTATTATCTAATAACTAGTTTTATCGCTTCCTTATATATTACTGTCCATATATCCTTCCCACTTTTACATGCACCTATTTCCGCGAAAAATTACTCATATGTGAAGCTACATATAAATACTAGGACTTTACAATCACGTGCGAGACATATTATCACCCGATAGAGTCACACATACGACAAAAGGATCCTATTTTTACTGGCTCGTATTTATGAATTCACAATTGTATGAATCGTTAGATTGTGATCAACGTGGATTTCTTAATACGCTCTCGTTTGATATAAACGTACGTTAATGAATAGGTGACATTTTAGTTACATGCCTGGAGATGGCTGTCAAAATTCAGCGGAGTTTATGTGTCAGTTAGAATGAAATGACATGTGAAAACATTTAGCAAGATTGAGGCATCAAATGCGATATTATTTTCTTATCCAATCTTTTTTGTTTTTGTTATCACGTTATTATTATTGACTGTTGCAGCAATATTTATTGGAAAGTTTGTATTTCAGCCGTTGGTACTTGTTAATACGGAATGGCTATGTAAAGCTATATATAGATTGTGTTAAATGTGGTTAAAATATTTTGACTTTGTTGTTTCTGATGACATTTGCCGACTCTCGATTTTTTACTCTCGATCAGAGACTCTCGTCGACTCTCGACTTTTTACTCTCGATCGACTCTCGACTTTTTACTCTCGACTCTCGACCTTTTACTCTCGACTCTCGACTTTTTACTCTCGACTCTCGACTTTTACTCTCGACTCTCGACTTTTACTCTCGACTCTCGACTTTTACTCTCGACTCTCGACCTTTACTCTCGACTCTCGACCCTCGACTTTTAGATACACTCTGTTACAGATCGGTTATATATTGTGTTAAAAGTATTTTGACTCTGTTGTTTCTGATGACATTTGCCGACTCTCGACTTTTT